ACGCCGGGAGCAAACAGTTTCTTAAAAAATAAACTAGTTCGACTCACACAAAGAAACAACATAATTCGCTTCTCCAGAAGAGCATGAATGTTGTTTCTTTAATATATATTGTGGAAAATGCCAAAAGGCAAACAAACAAAAGCAAAATACATGATAATAAGAAACACACGGAGCATGCTTTTTGTTCTATATTCTGGCCCTGTTTTGGACAGCTAATTCAAGCTTCATTTTCAGTTTCAGCCTTAATATTAAAGCTATTATTGATGTGTTTGGTTTAGCTTGATACTTATATAGCTATAGCATTTTGGAGTCAGAAAAACAGCTTATTCTTTTTGAGTGGGCAGGATGATGCTTTAAGGACATAAGCTAGGAAATCACAGCTTAAGCTGAAAGTTATAAGCCTATTAAGCTGTTTAGGCAATTAACTAAGCACTTGTCCCACAGCTGCTACCAAACGGCGCTTCTATAGTTAGTAAATTACTCTTTAAAAATAGGGTCTTTTCAAAAAATAAAAAATAAACGGTCTTTTATAAAATTTTAAGCTCTTAATTTATGGAGCAAGGATTCTCTAAAGTGATTTTTCCCTAAAGTTTCCTAGAGTATGTGATGTGTGGTTGCAGATGTTACTGGCAAGTCACATTTTGATGTCGAACTTGCCAGTACATCTCAAACCACAAATGTCAGCACTTTTAAAAATATTCTTAGGGAAAATTTTCACGTCAGAGGATTCTTGATCTTATTTATGTATCTCAGTGTTCACAATAGCTGATTGCTTCCCGAACTCGAGTTAAAACGCAAGTGGCAGGATAATACCCAATATTTAATGGATTCCTCTACTAGTTAATTTGAATTACAATGGTCGTGTCTTTGGCTAGTGAATTTTATCATTAATCTTGTTTCGATAGTTCGAATCGTTTATTTTGTTGGAAATTTTATATATTTTATTGGAACCTAATGGTTACACTTTGACTCGTTAAATATATTTTATTAGATTGATATATTTTTATATTTATATGTTGTATATATTTAGTGTTTATATATAAATTAATATAAATAATATTTAACGAGTCAAATATGTAACATTTTAGGTTCCAATCAAAAAATATATAAAATTTCCAACAAAATAAACGATTTCGTAACTATCGAAACAAGCATTTAATGATAAATCTCACTAGCCAAAACGAAAGCCATTACCTAATTCAATATACAAGTTAGAGAGAATCATTAAATACTTGGGTATATATCCTCCACTTGCTTTTTCAACTCGAGGTATCGGAAGCCCAAAGCCTATTGTGGAACACTGAGAATAACATAAATAAGATAAGCAATCCTCTAGAGTGAAATTTTCCTAAAATTTTTTTAAAGTGTTACATTGTTGTGGTAGATTTACTGGCAAGTCACATCAAAATGTTGATCTTGCCAGTAAATCTCAACCACACAATCACGATACATATGAGGAAACTTTAGGGAAAAAATCACTTTTAGGACATCCTGCTCCATAAAATAAGAGCTAAATTGTATAAAAAAGACCGTTTATTTTTTTATTTTTGAAAAAAAGACCTATACTTCTATTAAGGAGAATCTATACTAAATAGAAGCCCGTTTGGTTAGAGCGTGTGGGCAAGTGCTATAGCTTCTATGCCTAAACCAGCTTATAGCATTATACTTTCACAAGCTTAAGCTGATTTCCAGCCTTTATTTTAAAGCACTATCAACTGCCCCACTCATAAGAGAATAAGTGTTGTTCTGACTTACCACAAAGCACTTAAGCTATAGCCTATAAGCCTAAACCAAAACCACAATCAAAATAGCATTAAATTTGAAAGCTGAAATAAGCTGAAATTAAGCTGTACCAAACAGGGCCAGAATATAGAACACAAAAGCATGCTCCTGTGTTTTTATATTTCATTTTTTGCTTTTGTTTTTGCTTTTGCATTTTCCACATATATATTAAAAGAAACAACATCAGCATCTTCTGAGAACGAATTTGTGTTTCTCTTGTGTGAGTCGAACTATTTATTTTTTAAGAAAAATGTTTGCTCCCACTAATTAGGTGGTAGTGGGTCCTGTCATTAATGATGCGATGTTTTAGTCTTGAAATTGTGTTTTTTTTTTTTTTTATGAATGGTGTAGATTATTTTGAAAGTTGTGAGGGTTGTGTTTTGTGAGAGTCTCTGTCATTATTGACACCATTGCTTGTTATTCTCTCTAATAAAGGAAAACGGAGTAGATAAAAAATAATTACAAAAGATAAAAAAATATTATAATTTTTTATTAATATATAATTGAATTACCATGGGATTATTTGGAAACACGGTTAAAAGTTAAAAATTAACTTTTTTTTTTAATTCTTTTTAAATCATATCAACTCTCATATAAAAAAAAAAAATCAAAAATATCAAAAAAAAAAAATTTAATTTTTAACCATCTTTTCAAGACCATAGCAGTGTTCCTCCCTTATAACAACACCAGCGCACACACACAAGAATAATTAGTAGCCATTTTATCAGTTTCTAGTCCGAGCTCAAACCAAGAAACGAAAGTATGTTCCCAATTTCACTTGTAGTGAGTCCCATAGTCTCTGTAGTGATAAAAACAGCTGCTTCCTTAATCAGTGACAGGTATGTGGGTGTGATCGGAGTCGAGGAAGATATCAAAAGACTGTCAGATACCATGTCTGCAATCAATGCTGTTCTTCAAGAAACAGACAAGATGCAAACAAAGTCTGAACCCCTGAAAGATTGGCTTGAAAAGGTGCAAGACTTTGCTTATGACACAGCAGACATTCTAGAGACCCTATCGGCCGATGCGTATATGTGGAGAAGGAAGCAAGTAAGTAGCTTAAGATCAAGCATGCACAAAATTTTCATTGGGTATAGCATAGTAGATGATGTGACCAAGCTGTTACGAAGGCTAGAAGACATTAAGGAAGGAAAAAAACTGTTCGACAACATCATTGGTGCCCCGGTTGTGATGATGCCTGCTTCTGAGACTGGACACGGACACGGATATGGTCAAACACACACTAGTTCTCTCTTGAGCAAATCGCAAGTTGTCGGCAGGAAAGATGATAAAGAGAAGATAGTGGAGATGTTGGTGTCCGCGGCGTTGGATAAAGATGTGAGCGAGGAGGAAGGACACATTGCTACCATTGCCATTGTCGGGATGGGAGGGGTAGGCAAAACAACTCTTGCTCGATTGGTCTACAATGATGATGCAGTTAAAGACCATTTTCAGCGCAGAATATGGATTTCTGTCAATTTCAATTTCAATTTGGACAGGATTCTACAAGAGATGAAGGTATCCCTTTATGGGAAGTCGTACAAACCAACCCTGTCTATGGACAACGTACAAACAGAAGTTCACAAGTTTTTGGCCGGAAAGCGTTTTCTGCTTGTTCTAGATGATGTTTGGACTCAAAACATTACAGACTGGGAGCAGCTGAAGGTACCCTTGCCTATATTAAACCTTTCACCAATCTAGAGGTTTCAACAATACAATTTGTTACTATCCAAAAAATAAATAAAATACAATTTCTTCTACTAGGTAAGTAGTACCATTACTGTTTTCTTGGTTATATAAATAAAATTTGAATGAACACAACATCAAAGTGTTGTATTTTTAGATGTAAAATTAGTAATTAAAACATTCATAATCTACAAGAATCTTTAGTTTAGATTGTGAACTTAGATTAGTTGAATCCAATACTTATTTTTTAGAGTATAAGGCTGTATAGCCCGGGAGGAGTGTCCCGAATCTCTTTTGATGATTTCCTTATTGTAGAATTTGTCAGGTAGATTATTCATGAAAAAAAAATTTGATTAATTGGACATATGTAATCCCACAACAAGGCCACGTTTATGTTTAAATAAAATAAACGATTAGCATGATTTTGATAATTTTTTAGAAAATAATTAGGTCCTAATCATGGAGTTACGCTTATCCGATTAATCTCATTTTTTTATGTGGATGATATGCCCAACATTTAGGGTTCAGTTCATTAAAATAGACTTGGGACAAACCCATTGGGTCGTCACAACACAGTTGCTACGACAACACCCACCCTTTGTCCTATTTTTTAACGTATCGGACCAATACTATAAGAGCTAAAAATAGTTGTGGGTAAGGGTGACTCAAACTGTACAAGAGATTGGCGAATTAGAATTGATCATTTTTCGATATGAATCCAAATATGAGATGACCCGATAACATGAATAATTAGTTGCACATTTTAACACTACAACATTTAAGAGTTTTAGAGATCAAGTTTTTTGTCTCTAAAAGTATAAATTTTGTTGAAAAAAATATTTAGAGACTAATTTTAGTTGTCACGAGGATCGTCACTAAAAGATCATTTCGAAAAATCAAAAAAGAGACTGTTAGTGACAAAATTTTAAAAATGCCACTAATATATACACGTTTAGGGAAAAAATAAGTTGGATCCACAAAAGTTTATTTCTTTGAGACAAAACTTTTGATCTCAAAAGGTTAGTAATTCATCACTAAATGTCGCTAATTTTGGTCGTTATCAAAAAAATATAAACACTTTTGCGACAAAAATATTTTATTCTTAAAAAGTGATTTTGTCCCTAAAATTTTGTCTCTAAAATCTTTAATTTTTGTAATTTTAATTTTTACGAAATGGTGCATGACATTTTTTATGTTAATTCCATCTCCTTAATAAAAAAAAGTATGCATAATATAAGCTTCTAAGGCTAATGTTTTCTTTTTCATCTTTAGATATATATTTTTTTGTTACTATCTTTAGAGTAATCTAGTAAAAATAATAAAATAATATGGTATAACATTTTTTAAATTAGGAAAAAACAATGAAGTTAAGAAATCAAAACATTTTGTGATAATTTCCTAATCTCACCAGACACTTAGTGTTTTTATTAAGAGTAAATTTTTTGCATATATGACATATTAAAACATGACACGAACTGAAAATGACATAATATGATAACATGAAAAATAAATAGATTGAACTAGTGTTGTGGAGATATTTTTGACACGAAACCTAAAATATCACCACATGATGGCCCACGCGTGTTGCCCCCCCCCCCCCCCCAAAAAAAAAAAAAATTTTAAGGCTGACTGCCTCTCTAGGGGCTGGCCCTGGCAGTGCGCATCCACATTAATCATGATCAATGGAGCACCACATTGAGCCTCGATATGCTAGTGAAGGGCTGTTAAATGACAGACATCATATGATAACAATTAGAGTTCTGTGATACAGTTTAAGAAGTGGTTAGTGTAGTTAGTTAGGGTAAGTTCTTATATATTCTCCTATCACATATAGGAAGTAACGTAATAGACTATATAATTAGCTTTGATCTTGAATTCAATAGATCAAAGCTTTTTCTTCATATCATTGATCATTGTAACTTCTGGTTTTATATAGTGAGGTTTCTAACTCATGATGTTTAATTTTTATAGGCTTTGAAACTTTTTTGTTTTTTTTTTATTTTTATGGATCTCTGACTAGGTAATGCCTGG